CACAGAGAGAAGAGGCAGAGCTGAAAGCAACCAGTCACTGCTCAGGAAGGAAGTGAAGAACAGATAAGAGCGATAACAACTGACAAGAAAGTGACAAAGCAGAAATAAAGAGCTAAAACATAAACACACACACACACACACTAATGTTTCACGATAATACGCACGGATCAGAAACAAACTGAAATTAAAGAGTGAATTAAGTGAACGAGCTTCCTCTGGATTTGCATGAAGAGACGTGTGAGAACGACTTAAACAAACACTTATTGTCAGTCCAGTGTTTATTGAGGATTGGACCATCAGTTGGTTGATTTTGGCCTTTTAATGGCATCTGTGGACAATAACAATACTGAACATCGACGACCTCGCCCTTCATCCAGAGTTTAACAGAAGTGCAGCACACATGCTAATACTCTGCTGTGTTTCATTTATCGGTTCCTGCTCCTTTAGTGGCGTAACGTGACTTTAGGTTGTATTCCAGGGAACGCCAGCCTTCCTCCTTGCACATAAGATGTTAAATTTAACTTTAAATAATAATCTTCAGCCTCTGTTGAACCTTTCTGTAGTTCTAGGAGACATTTTGCAGTTACAGTGTTTTCCAATCAGGTGTTAAACGTCGACTCGGTCCATCTCCTGAAGGTCAGATAACCCAAAGTGTCAACACTTAAAGCAACATGATGTAACTTTAAAATAACAGCTGTATTATTCTGATGCTACACAGTTGTAACAGGGTGAATGGTGCCTCTGTACGGCTGTAACTTTTGAACGTCGCCAACTGAGTCACTGATTTTGGTGAAACTGGATCATCTCTGGCTGATTCTGCTAAATGTAGCGTGTAGTGTTTTCAGGCCTCGGATGTCAGAGCCGTGCAAGAACCGGAGCTGGGAGAGCGGGCAATGTCACCGGGCTCAGCGGCTTCTATGGACATGTATGAAAACCAGATTTTTTTAAATAAAAAAGAATCGGAGAAAGCTTGTGATGTTTAATGTGCAGAATTAACAATAAATTCTAACATGCAGGGAAAGTTTCACAGTTTTAAAATTCCCTTTAATTATAGTTTTTTTTTTTTTAATTACAGTTTGTCTTTAAACCGTTTGTGATCTGTGATCCCCGACATGAGTCGCCCCTAACAGAGCTACAACATCGTGTACCTCCTCAAACACAATGAAACGCTGTTCTACCAACAGTGTTCTCACATAAAACTTCAGTACACGCAAAAAGAAAAAGGCATAAATCTAAATTATAATCAGTAAGAGTCAAACGTGACCCGTGTCACAGCAGATTCTGTGCCCCTTCTTCCTTTACGGGGTTCAGGTCATCAGTCTTTTGTATAAACAAGAAAATAGCAGAAGTCGTCGTGTTTGGAGACGAAGAGAGGTGGTTGGATGGAAGAGGAAGCGTCCTTCAGGATTTGTCCCGCATGCTGTCGGTCAGGAAGATGATGTTGTCTGGAGGAGGAAACAACAGAACCAGTGTGTGGGATTTAGTGCCGTCTAGTGGTGAAGTTGGAGATTGCAACTAACTGAATACCGCCCCGTATCTAGAGCCAGTGTTTAGCTTGTCTGGTCTACTGTAGAAACACATGATTCCCTTATTCAGGTGATTATACACTAATGAAAACACACAACAGACTCTCCTAAACGTTACATAACGTCATCGTAGTCACATAAAGCTTATGTTTGTTCTCTGACCTGCGATGATGGTGGTGGCCTGACGTCTGATCTGGTTCTTGTCCACATAGTCTCCGTAGTCTATCTTCCCTTCCACTAGAACCCTACTCCTGAGAGACAGAGAGAGAGACAG